CCAATACCTCACTCGAGTTTACGAGGTGCACTATTACTCTGATTTGGCACTTGACTGAACCTGCCTTAAAACAGAGGCGAAAATTCAGCTAGGTGTTTATTTGGGTGGTGGGAGAATTTCAGTCATAATAAGACCTAGAGACTCAACTCTTTTTGAAGCTGCTCATTTTCTCCTATGGCCTATCTTGCGAGTAGACCATGTATCTGAGATTTGATAAAAGAAAGGTGCATTTGAAAACACATGCTACCAGTAGAATAGATCATATCTGTACATAGTAAGATAATCTAGTGATTTACTAGTTTGTTACCAAATCTATGATTTACAATGTAATTTTCATTATATACATCTATAAATACATGAGGTCGTTATCCATATAGGTCAGTGTCATTCAACCTAACATGGTATCAGAGTCATGCCCTAAACTTAGTCGTGTCAATAGATTGATAAATCCTCAAATGTTGAACAAAGGACTCCAAAAGAAAAGGAGTGGATCCTCCTCGAAAACAAAGGACTCTAAAGGAGTCTAGCCTAGATTAAGGGAAGGCGTTGGATAATGGAAGTCTCACATCGGCTAATTTAAGGAATAATTATAGGTTTATAAACAAAGAATACTCTCTCCATTGGTACGAGAGCTTGTACTCAAAGTGGACAATATCATATCATTGTGGAGAGTCATGTTTGTCTAACACTATCTACTTGTTTTTGTTTCTTCAATATAAGGGTAGACTAAACTTATAATTAAAATTTTGTTTTATTATATTTACCGAAAATATTATTACTATAATTACTAGGAACTAAAAAAAAATTAGATTCTCGTAAAATTGAGTGCATTTAAATTTAGAAAATGAATTAAAATGTAAAAAAAAAAAAAAAAAAAAAAAAAAAAAAAAGAAATGAATCCGGGAGTGGAAGAGAAGTGAAAAGCGGGTATTTGAAGAGAGAAGGCAGTTCCCAATATTCGCTGTCACTGCCCATCGGTACTCATGAATATCAACCCCAAAGATGCTTTTTCTCCTTCTTCTTCTTCTTTTTTTTTCCCTCTCTCTCTCTCTCTCTTCTTCAGTTCTTCAGTTTTTTAATGCAGCCTTCTCTTATTATAATCCCCAACCCTTCCTTCCTTCATCATCGTTTTAAAAATCCAAGAAATGCCTCTGATCAACATCAATTTCGATTCCATTTTTCTTTTTATTTTATTTAATTCCCGAACAGGACAGACAAGCGGACTTCAGATTTAGACCAGATTCCACATTACTTACTTACTTCTTCATCCGCAAACCACGATCCATCCATCCTCCTTTCCGACACCACTCCAGATCGAACCATTTCCCGATCGACAAACCTCGCCGCGTTCGTCTCCTTTCCGGTGAGTTCTCCGATCGCTCTGTTTCTTTTTTTCTTTTTAACGATTTTGTTCAATTGTTAGGTTTTCGTGTTTGTGCGTTGAATTGTGAATGAGATTTGTTTCTGAGGAACGTTTTTGAATTTCAAATGAAATTCAAATTTCGTGAGATTGTTTCTGTTCTTTGCATCTTTTTTTGAATTTGTGGTGTTTGGATGTTGGAGTGTTTTCTTCTCAAATATAGAAATGCTCGCCATGTCCAATCAATTTTTTTTTCTACATTTTTATTTATTCAACCATTTATTTTCTTATTTCCTTCTTTTTTTTCTTCTTTTTTCTTGTTCAATTACTCTTGAAGCACTATATAAATACTCGGTATTTTGAAAATAAAACTCATTAAATTTGTTTTCTTTTTATATCTTATGTACGAGTATTTTCTTCTCAAATATAGAAATACTGCACATATTTTTTTTTCTATATTTTTGTTTATTGAATAAATATGTAGTTTTGGATTTCAAAAAAAAAAATAAAATATCAGTAGTTACATAGTATTGAACAAATTAACCCAATAATAATAATAATAAAAAAGCTAAATTAATAAAATACCCTAATTTTTCTTTTTTCCGTCTAAAAATAGCCATAAACTTTTAAAAAAATTTAAAATATATTTACGGTTAGTTTTGAAAATAAACGGTTATATCGTTTAAAAAATATATTTAAACATTAAAAAAATTTCATTAATACTCTTCCACATTTTAAAAAAAATTTAAATGTGCCCTTACTATTAGTACTATATTTAAAAAAAAAATTCATGAAATTTCAAACATTTATAAAATATATATATATTTTGTCGGGCGATACTTCATAGATTATTTCTAAATTTTTTAATGATATTTTTTTTTAAGTTCATGAATATTTTGGAAATGTGTACAAACGGTAGATAAGTGTATATATATATGTATATATATTTAAAAGTTTAAAGACATTTTAAATATCTTTCTTAAAAAATAAAAACTCAAATGTATTTTTTGAAAGTGTATTTTTGAGATTCTAAAAGTTAAATGGCATTTTGAAATAAAGTATTAACTATTTTGATTTTTTTTTTTTTTTTTTTTTAAGTTTAGTTTAAAGGTGATATTGAAACTTTTTTCGAAAATTTAAATAATTTATTTTTTTTTATATTTTGAAAATTAAATTTATAATGTTTGAATTTTTTTAGTTGGTTTGGGTGGGGGGTATCCTAGTCATGAGGTTTGACCCCATCATCCCATGTGAATAAGAAGAGAGCAGAAGCCAAGGCTTCCCTCTTTATTCTTCAATATTAATCAACAAAACCCCTTGTTTGCTGCTGCCCATAACAGACAAACTATCCACTTTAATTTCTTTTTCTTTTTTTTTACATGAAATTCATAAACTATTTTTAAAAATATAATATTAAAAGTCAGTAAGAATATGGTAAGAAAGGTAAAATAATAATTGCATTTACTAAGTAACAAAAGAAGGAATATTTTTCATAAACTTAGGGTCTGAACTCAACTGTGTGGTCTCATTCATATTCCCTATTTCATACCTCTTCTTTTTCATTCATGGAAATTTGTTATTAATGTCTTTTTTTTTGGTTCTTTATATTAATTTCAGTGTCTTCATCGCATCTCACTTCATCTTCTAATTAATTAATACCTTAAATTGTTTTCACCCCCCCTTTTTTTTTTTTTTTTTTTTTTTTCTGTTCAACTGTTGGGGTAAAATTAGAACATCAATGGGCCCTCTTTCTTTGAATGGAACTATGCTTTCAATTCCTATACTTTCACTTTAAATATCATCATCAACCCATTTTCCTAGGGAATTTATGTTACTCCCCATCTCCCAAAACTTTTCAGCTAATCTTCGTTTTCCCTTTCTGTTTTTTAGTCTTTAATCAAGAAAATAACGTTTCGGAACATGGAAGAAAGCCCATCTCCACCCACGCGTCGTCGGAGATTCCCCGTCGATGATGGGGTCGATCTAATTGACTGCTCCGGCAAGCATTGCCGGTCTTGCACTGCTGGCTTGGTGGCTGATTGTGTCGCTGTCTGCTGCTGCCCCTGTTCCGTGGTTAGCTTCTTGGCTCTGGCCCTCGTCAAATTGCCGTGGATGATTGGCCGGCGGTGTCTGCAACGGGCGAGGAAGAAGAGGAAGTTGATTCGCCGAAAAAGGGAATGCGATGGCGCTGCGGCTGCGTCGGAAACTGCTTTGGGTCTGGCGAGGGAGGAAGGGCTGCCGGAAATTGTGCCGGGGTCCGTCGAGGAAGAAGAAGAAGAAGAAGAAGGGGTGGGGAATTTTAGTGCGAGATTTGAAGCAGAAAGAATTTGGTTGCAGTTGTATCAACTGGGTCAGTTGGGTTTTGGAAGAGTTTCTTTCACTGGGAATTCAAATCAATGGCCAAATTCCAATTAATTCAAATTTAATCACTAATTTGTATAGTTATAAGGTAAATTATTAATTTAGTATCTTATTTTTCACCTTCTTTTTCTTTTTATTTATTTACTCCCTAAATTAAAAAAAAAAAACATTTAATTACGTTTTCAAAACCACAAATTTGTTTTTCATTATTAGAGATGTCCATTTTTAAAGAAATTTTCTTACTTTGTTATTTACTTTTATTAGAATGCGTATTGTGTTGTTTCTAATTCTACGAGGTTTGATGATGTGAGCAACCAAGCAAGCATCTTCTCTTGCCTTTGAGTGTGCATTTCACCATCCAACCTTATTTTTTGTGTGATATTCTTGCCTTTTTCTTCTCTAGATCGTGTATTTAAACAATTATTTGATAACATCGCTATAACATGTCCAACAGTTTTATTAGATTTTATGAACGAAAAATAATAAGAAAAAATACTTCAAATTTAATATCAACTATCATTAAGAGATATCAGTCGATTCTCTTTTTTTATTTTTTTATGATGTTTTTCAATAAAATTGCCCGCGATAAGTTTATGAATGAAGTTGTTTACTACGGAAAAAGAAATGTTTCCATTAATGAGTTTTTCACATGAAATTTTATTTTTTCTTTTATATTATGCATCATTTTCTTATGTATGAGATAATAGCAGGGACAAAGTGGACCAGTGTTGTTGGTTATAATTGTATTATCATTTATAATCAACTTTTAAAGAATTAAAAATATATATATATTTAAAATTGAAAATTATTTAGGTTGGGCTTAAAATAAATCTACTTGGAACAAGACAATAAATAATATCACAAAATTTTCCAAAATTTATTAGGATTTGAAGTTTCATTAAATGTTGAAAAATTAAATTAAATATTGAACATGTGAAAAGATTAAAATAAAAACAAAATTGTTGGAGAAAAAAACTGTGGGGGTTGTCCACGTGGCAGAAGGCAGGGCATTAGGCATCGAAACTGGGAAACAGAGATCGTTAGAAGAGAGAGGGCTTATCGCGGAAAATCGATTACAGAGACGACAATGGAGGGAGAACCGACTCGAATAATGCTTGCTGTGAATCAGTCAACCATCAAGGGCTATCCACACGCTTCCATAAGCAGCAGTAGGGCCTTCGAATGGACTCTCCAGAAGATCGTCCGTTCCAACACCTCTGGTTTCAAGTTTCTCTTCCTTCATGTTCAAGTGCCCGACGAAGACGGTTTGCTCTCCTTCTCTTGATTTCGTTACTCTTTTCTCGTTTTTTTTTTCCTTTTATGGCCTCTTTGCTTGATGCTGATTGACTTTGTTGAGATGCGATATTGTTCTGTTCGTTGTTTCTTGTTTTGCTGAATCTTGAACTTGGTTAGATGAACTCCGACTTTTCATATGACGAAATATTGGTTGATTGGAAGCATAGAAGGGAATTGTTGTTTTATAAGTGGTGTACAAGGGCATTTAGTCTCGTATTTGATTCAAGAAGTACGGCTTATATGTCTTTCTTGTGATCTATGCCCTAGAATCTTGTTTTCTCCTTGATCTGAACTTGCAAATTAAACGCTAAGAAATATAGAGATCGCACTGATGACTGATTTCGATAATTAGCATGTGGATGATGGATTATCTGCTTTAAAATTTCTTGAAGTTTCGAATCTACAATTAGGAAACGAGCTTCCTCTATCTTTTTCTTGGTGTATTTCACTGACGACTTTGTATGGTAGAGCGATCCAAGTTTTCTAACTCTTTTGACTTTTGAACAATGATTTGAACTGTAGACTAATGCAAATTTTTACATTTCACTCGATCACATCTCTGTGAAATATCTTTTATATAATTATACAAAACAAAATTCAGTACAACCAGTAAGTATAATACATGTATTCACGTTGCAATATTCAGTTTTAAGCAACTTTATTCCTGGAAGGAAGTGCTCTCCCCTACTTATATAATCATATGTCCTACAAATAAATAACAAGCATCTCAAACAAAAAACTTCCTGATCTAATATTACGGCTTGTTTGAATTTAAGTGTTTAAATAAGTGTTATGTGGAAAAAAAGAAATCTTCTAAGCACTTAGAAAGTTTTTGAAACATGCTCTTAATCTTCAAGTCTTATCACACAACGATTCTAGTCCTTTGCCCCCTGTTTCGTTTCTACATAGTGTTTATTATTTCTCAGTACTACAATTATTAAATAATTGTTAGTGACTCCTTCCTTCATTTCTCTCCTGAGCATGTCTTCTATGTGCCTAAATGTGCCGGAGTTCCTTAGAACTTGAGGACACATAAACAGAGGTCACCTGTTATCCTGGTCTTGTAAGGTTTTGACATGCCCCATTTTCAAACATGCCCAAAATTTAAATTAAAAAAAAAATTAAAAGACATGCATCCAAATCACATGTAGTGCACGTTTTTTCTTATAAATATTCTGTACAAAAACAATTTGATGTTTGTGCTTCCCTTAACTCCTATTTGGTTTCTATTTTTTTTTTTTTTGCCATAATTGGATGTTTTTTCTTAGAATGAGTTTGAATAGCTTTTGAGACGCTGGAAAGTACTTTAATCATTTTTAGTTTTTCGTTTGATTATCAAAATAACTTCAAAAATTCTCGAAGCCCTTGTCTTTAAGATAGCACATAATTTTGCTCAAGGTAAATGGCGAATAGACTATTTTCTTGTGTGGTTTTATACATATATATGCACACACATGTAGTTATGTATGTATAAACCATTTACCATCTTCTTGAAAATTATAGATTCATTGGCCATTTCTGAGAAAGATTATCTCCTTTTTTACTGTTTCATAATAGTTCTGAACATAATGTTTACTGGTTTCGTTAGAAGGTACTATACTATACTATGACTCGAGGATGTGGATTATATTTTGTACAGTATTACTATGATGCTATATTTCTTGGAATAGTTTCGATAGTTTGACCGTCTTGATGACTTTTCCCATCTCTTTGATTTTTTCTTCTTTTTTACAAGGGAACTGAGGTGTGGGATGGCAGTGTACGCACCATATTTCAAAATGATACTGATTCCACGTATCACATGTTAGAAAATAACTAGTAACTGAAACAGTACTCTGCTCATTTTATTTCTTGTAGGTTTTGACGACGTAGATAGTATCTTTGCGTCACCTGATGATTTTAAAGACCTGAAGCAAAGGGACAATGCACGAGGGCTTCAACTACTGGAGTTCTTTGTCAATAGATGTCATGAAATTGGGGTAATCCTTGTTTATACGACTTTTTCTGCTGGATTGATCTATCAATGTAAATATGCAAAATTATGATCACACTTTACCTACTGTTGGTACACCAGAAAAATCAAACAATAATAGTCTGTTTAACACCAAAAAGAAGGCAATGTTAGGACAATCTTTTTTGGATAATTAGACATACTATTTTCTTTCCTGACATAGTTCTATTGCAATTGGTCGTGTTCATTGCTTGTTGCAATACTTTTTTGTAGGTTGCTTGTGAAGCTTGGCTTAAGAAGGGCGATCCCACTGAAGTAATTTGCCACGAGGTGAAACGCGTGCAACCTGATTTTCTAGTTGTGGGAAGCAGGGGAATTGGCCGGTTCAAAAGGTGTGCTTGAGTTGTATTAGCTCTTCGACATTACTGTTTCTAAGTATAGGACTCAATTAATCATTTCTTAACCTGTTTTTACTTAATACCTTGATGGCATTGGAAGCCTAACTGCCTGGAAAATCCGCTTGTCGATGTCTGCAGGGTCTTTGTAGGCACTGTAAGTGAATTCTGTGCAAAACATGCCGAGTGCCCTGTAATTACGGTCAAACGCACGGTGGACGAGACACCTGAAGATCAAGTCGACGACTGACTTTCCAGCCGTCATAACATGTCGTCGTGCCATTTTGATTTCATTTTATCTTGTTGATAAATAAGAAACTATTGGTGAGCGTGGTCGTGTGTATTTAGTGTGCAAAAGTTGCCAATTCGCCATTGATTTGCATTTGTGTTGTTGGTTCATTGTTTGTTCAATTGATTGATGAAGAATTGGGAATTGGTAACAGACTTTTCATGTGAGATATAGCTAAAAACATTCTCTCTCTAGAAAAAAGAACAGGTCTTTTGTATGAAATTTCAATACAAGTTAATGTAGTTTTACAGACCCGATGATCAAGGAGTAAGAGCAAGGCAACGATTTGGCGAACAGCAGAAACATAAAGCAAGCAATGATTCTAAGTGGAAATATGTCAGAACGACGAGTTCACAGTTCACATCGAGAAGAAAAAAAGGGGAAATTCAGCAAAGACTGAGTGAGTTAATCTAAAACAAACACTTTTTCCCCAGCAGCATTAAACAATGGCTATTTTAGCTCCAGCTTCTTCAAGCTGTTTCTTGGCATCCTCAGCCTCTTCTTTCGAAATCCCTTCCTTGAACTTCTTGGGCAAACCTTCGATGAGTTCTTTGGCTTCCTTCAAAGCCAAGCTTGTCAATGCCCTCACTGCCTTAATCACTGCAATTCTAGCATTGCTTGGGACGTCCTCAATGACCACATCGAATTCCGTTTTCTCCTCCACCGCCTCCGCGGCCGCGTCCCCGGCTGCGGCGCCGGGTGCTGCGACGACGGCGGCGGGGGCGAATGCGGCAGCGGAGACCCCAAGCTTATCTTGAAGAAAGTCGACCAGAATGCGGGCTTCTTCGAGAGTGAGGTTGGAGATGTCGGCGCCGAGCTTTTCGATTTTCTCAGGGGCTGACACGGCGGCAATTGGACGGAGGTAGGTGGCGCGATGGGAGGTGGCGGTGGAGGAAGGGTTAAAGGGAAATTGGAGGGTTGTGGAAGTGGAGGACTGAGTGGAAAAAGAGGAATGGGAATAAGAAAGGTGCGGTGGGGAACGGAGGGTGGTGAGAGTGGAGAGTGTAGAAGCCATTTTTCTTTCTTCTTCTGATGCGGAGAAGGAAGAAGAAGAAGAAGATAGGATAAGGAAGTGGTTGGGAGAATTGGATTATAGATGGCGTTTTGTTTGATATTTTATTTTCCTCAAGTACCCCTCGTCTTTTTCACTTATTACTCCCAAGTGAGGGTTTGCTGTCTGCTTCAGTTGAGGGTAAAATCGGGACATGGTCCTAGAATAAAAAGATGAAAAAAAAAGGGGCATTCCGAGAATCGAACTCGGGACCTCTCGCACCCAAAGCGAGAATCATACCACTAGACCAAATGCCCGATTTATGAGAGAGTATTATATATAATTTATTTATACAATAACTATAAAAAATAATTGCATCAAAAGTAGTCTTCAATTATTAGAACCAACAAGTAATGGAACTCCCTGTTTGAAGTTTAGAGGAAAAGTTCCTTCGCACTTGAGAGAAGATGGGACTTAAAAGAAACTATGAAACTGAATCATCTTAAAAAGTGTGTGAAACTCTTCATGGAATAAATGAATACACCGTCAAGTAAAAATTATAACTTACTATTTCTATAATTGAATATAACATTCAATATTCCCTACTATTATGAATGATACCAAGAACAAGATTGGTACATCATCACAACTTTAATGCTTGATGCTTCCTCAACTTGGTAAACGAGTCTTCTTACCATCGGCGACGTCTCCTCCCGTACCAATATGCAAATGCAGCAATCGATCCAGCAAGGATAACCCCAGCGGTCGCATGCCATCTATACATGGGTGTTTCTAGAACAGGGTAAGGACCAAGACCAGAGCCAGAACTACCGACGTTAATGACTTGTGTCGGAGGTGGTTCACGACTAACTGCCATAGCATAGCTCAGTCCCTGGCTTTCTAACTTGGCCAAATCCTCAATTGCAGGTTTCAGACTGGTGACCATCGCTATAGCTTCATACTCTTCTTTTGTTCCACCTTCAAGAAAAGATCCAACTAGGTGACCTTTGTTTACCCAATATGCTCCAAATGTGTTTCCTGAGAAATCCCCAAAATGTACAGCCTCCCCAACGTTGTCCCCGTAAAATTGCCACGAGAGTGTGAATACCCTGGAGTAGAAAAATGGTACATCGTCGAAGTCACCGGTTTTTTCTGGATCCATAATGGCAGAAACCGCATGTCTAGCAGATTTTCTGGCAGAGTCGACATGCTCAAGTCTCCGGGTTTCACTGAAAAGCTTGACTGGAAATGCTGCTACATCTCCAACTGCATACACCGAGCTGTTACTCGACTGCATCTTTCCGTTTACCTTGATTCCGCCCTTTTCCATGGTCAGCTGGCCTTCAAAGAGGCTTGTGTTCGGGCGAATTCCTATTCCAACAACAACCATGTCTGCAGGTAGCCGTTTTCCATCTCTTAGATTGACAGCAACAACCTGGAAATGGTTAGATAATCAATCAAATCTACAACTACACCGAAATCGGTATTCTGAATTCACAGTGTCTAGCCTGTCTGTCATTCATTCTCAAGGAATCTTCAGGAAAAACTTCAAGAAACAAACAATTTTATGGAATCCAGGATCAAAGAATGCTACAAAATTTTCACCTCATTATATCCTAATCGCTAAAGAAGCGTCTGTAGTACCTTTCCATTAGAATCCATATCAAATGATGTCAAGACAGTTCCTTTGACAAACTCAACTCCTTTAGCCTTGTAATAATCTTCATAAAAGCTTGCAATCTTGGGGGTAAATAGACGAGGCACTATAAAGCAAAAAGATCCTTAAGCTTAGGAATAATCTATTCATTTCCCAATAGTACAATGTAGGGCAAGATCAATAGTGCATACATCAAGAAGGGTTAAATGACTAAGTAATAAAAGAAAGCATCATAATTAAGTTACTTACTGCACTGTGCTTCAGGGAAAACCATTGTTACATTAATTTTGTTAATCACTAGAGATGCAGCACACTCCATTCCTATGTAGCCACCACCAATTATAACAGCATTACCGCGTGAACACGAATTCATTGCACCGACAAGCCTATTTGCATCCGTTAGGTTCCGTAGATAACATACATTTTCTGCATCTGATCCATTCACTCCAAATTCTTCTAGCTTCAAAGCCTACACTCAAATTAAAAAAGGAAAAAAAGGACTTGAGCCAAGAACTATGATTCTATGAATATTACTAGACTACCATGAACTTTGAGATCTATTTAATTGGTGAAATGCATCTCCATGATGCTTAACAAGTTTTGACCACTTAAACTCAGATATTAACTGAACAAAGGGGAAAAAATTGTGCTATCGTTAAAAGATTGGTTCTATACCCGAGCACCTGTTGCAACAATGAGAATCTTGTAACTAATAGTTTCTCCAGCTGCTGTTAACAAGGTCCTGCGCCTAACATCAGCTGATATAACTCGGGTCCCAAGAACTAATTCAATTCCTGAAAAGAAGACAGAACCATACAACATCTTACAAAAAGAGAATTGGTACCAGGCTGTACAACTTATATCTGCCTGAATCAAGAAATATACTAATTTCTACATGAAAAGGCAGAAAGGAGAACAAATGATCTAAACAATCGCATTCTCCTTTGATTTCTGGTTCTAAAGTCGTGTGCATTTCAATATACAAAGGGTAAAAGGTATAAATAGATATGAAATGACTCAATAAAAGGTGAACAGAAGTAAAAAATGATTAGCATGCTCAAATGGTTCGGAATCTTTCTTCATCTACTTATATTAGAATTGCAGATCTAGCAAGGTAGATACGAATTACTTGCCATGTTCTTTGTACCATTTTGGCGTTAACCGTTCCTGATTAGCGCCAACACATGTGTGGAATGCTGGAAGGCGTGCTGGAGCTGCAAATTAGCATAAAATTCCACATTACAAATGTGTCCTATAGAGCAACAAACCAAAAAGCAAAAACACTGGCAAAAGGTTATTTCTGATGCCACTCAAGATGGAATACAAAAACTAGCATCCAGCTGAATGATAGATAGAACAAGGCTAGCTAGACAGAGCAACTGGCCTATGCCTGAGGAAACGTCTTGTTTTCAACAATTCTAGAAGAGATGTATCCTTGAAGGCTTTAATCGTCTCAAACTGAAGACTTCTGTTCTATTTCCGTTTCTACCCTATGATACATAAATAACCAGTGATACAGCAAGATTAGAAGTCCTACCTTCTGGAAGTAAATACCCTTTACTTAAAGCAGGCCTCTCATAAGGTGCAACCTATCAGAGATTCAAAGAAACTTTGTGTCATAAAAAATGAAAGATAATTCCCACTTGACACATAGCTACCAGATGAAAGAAAACAACAAACATGCATCTTTTAATATAACCTTACTGCTTTTATAAAAAAAATGAAAAACACCAATTTATCCTCTAGTTACATGATTAATCCAACTCAGATGCTCCACTACAACAGGGAATCAGCACTCAGCGGAGAAATTCCGTGTCATATATGGCAATTAATGATATTCAAATCATACGGAAGAATTACGAGTACCAAAAACAGTCAAATCTGTAATCTGTTAGTTCCATATTAGGCTATAAAATTTCAATCAAGTTAATGGAATTTACTATATCTCCAGTTGATGACAAATACATACATACATACAAAACAGTATAAGAACAAAAAGGATTAAAGAAATCTTTCCATTTACAAAAGGAAGGCTGAATGGGTGAATTGAGTTGAGAAAAGTCGACTCCTATTTTGAACTAAAAGTGGAATCTCGTAAGTGCGTCCCTAAGAAACGCGATAATTCTTAAATGAAACATTGCAAGCAATAAAAGGAAATAGAGAGATGGAGGAAAGGAATTGCAGACAGTTTCCTCGGAAATTATGCAGAGTTCGCCATGAGAGACCCCCCTCTTCGTAAATTCAAGGGCTGCATATCCAGATGCTACACCTCCACCAAGAATCACATACACGAACGCCCTTCCCATCTCTCCCTCTCTTTTTTGTTATTGGTCTTCGGAGGTGCAGCCGATTCTGGACAACATAGCCCTCCCCTCCCTTGGAAGCACTCCAACAAACAAGATGATAAAAATACAATATTTTCTTTGTTTTCTTTCCAAGCTCAAATTACCATTTTAGTCCATCCAATCTCTCTCTACATAATCCCAATTTATTATTATCAATTTTTTAAAAAATCCAATCTTCTTATTCCATTATATCTTCCAAAATATTCTGAAAAAGTTGCCATTATTTACTTCTTTTTATTTATTTATTTGTTCACAATATCTCTCCCCGATTTCACATTCGAGGTAGCGGAGAATAAAAAATATTTCTTTTAAGAGGTAAAATTTTTTTAAAAAAATTATGAGATTAATGACTATACGTAATGAGTTAAACCAAACACTATGTACTAGAAGTAGATTTATTTTTGCATAGAGTCAATCGTGGAATATTGTACTAGCAGACGCCGAGTTCCCAATAGACACTAGCATACTTTATAAGGGTGTGAAAACTTAGCAGACGGGTTTTAAAATTTTAATATATGTAATGGATTGAATATATAATATCTACTAATGGCGAACTTAGCGAACAATTATTTCATATATATTCTAATAAATTGATAAATTTAATTGGTTTTATGCTGAATAATTATCGAAATGTTTGGATTTATATAAAAGAAAATAACTAAATAAAATTCAAGGCTAAAATGGTAATTTTACTTTCTTTTAAATATTATAAGGGATAATCGGTTTCCATTTCCAGCCATCCTACATTGGCGACATGTGGCAGTTAATGAAATGACTGAATTACCATTTTTATCCTTCTAATCCAGTGCTTCTGGGTGTACCAGAATCATAGATGATAGAGCAATCTCAGCCATCGATTATTTTTCTGGAGTGAGATTCCTTTTACGCCAAGAAAACCCGCAGAAGTGGGACCAAGGGCAGGTCAACAAAACAAAAGATGCCACGTGGATTGTCAGTAGTTTAACGGATAACAAACGTCGTTTAAGATGGGCGCCGTCAGAGATCAACTGGAAGCATGTGCCCGAGGGGAAGGATAACGATACGGGGCCGACCTCTGCCACATAATACCTGTCACGTTTCTATTAATATAATTCCATGAATAAATTGGTTTAAAATATTAATTTTTGTTCAGGAACAATAAATTGGGCCAAGCCCAACCCAAACGAAGATTGGCCCATTTATAAGTACGGGAAATGGGTTGTAGTATTTCTTGTGGGCTTTGTGTATTGTAGAGTTTCGGGATCCAATAAAAATTGGGCCAAGCCCAACCCAAAAGGCAGATTGGCCCATTAAGGTAAAAAAAATGCTGTAGGGCGTCCTCCTAAGCATTTTAGGACATGTCTGTACACATATGGCCGACCATAACACGTGAAGGAATTTTCCAAAATGTTCCACGTGCATATCGTGTATTTCATGGTTTTTATTTAACATGTGCTTATATAATAAGAGACAAGCACACTTTCACATATTTGCTTTTATCATGATCTATATATACACACACACATATACATGCTTCTCTAGCAAGATTTGCTTTTGAAGACTTTTTGCATTTGTAATTTTCTTTTAATGTTTGGCTCGTGATTTTAATAATTATAAATTTAGGTAATGAAACCAAATTTATGATTCGGATCAGAATTCAGAACATAGATTTTGCACTTGGTGGCTCCAACATTCTCTTGCAACATGGTCGAACTACTTACTCCTTCTTTCTAAGAGTAAAGACTATTCTCACATACCAAGACGAGTCATTCAACTCACATGGATCTAAGAGGCCACCCAATATAGAATTACTCTAAGTAAAACATGCTTAACCATGAAATTCCTATGATCGAGCCACTGAAAAGAAAGTTGCACCTTATTGATATAAATAAAAACTTTCAATTCTTTTAAATTTTTCTTAGTCATACTATCTTCAGAATAACTCTCATTCATGTATTACTCTTTTACTCGAGTATCACGTTAATAGCAAATCATTGTTTAGATTTCAGTATCGAAATGAACCAAAACATAACTAAACTTTTTCGAGCCATCCTATCTTTTGATCAAAGGTGGTTGGTTGATGGAAGAGAGTACGGTGAGCAACATAGGAGCACTTGTACAGGAACATTTTTGTTTATATAGCAACATAGGCTTCATATTTTTCCACCCAATAAAAGTGAAGCTCATTTAACTAAATTTTAAATTAATTTGTACTGTGTATATTTATTATCATTAAAAATATTAATTAAATGAGATTAAATTAGTCCAAAATCTAGTAAGTGAAGTTGTAGCATGAAGCTATGCTCTCATATTTTTCTCACATTAAAGTAAAGAAGTTGACGAAAATCTCATATAATAATTTTATTTAATGTAAATTTATTTTCTTACTTTATTTCTATGGTCCCTAACTTTAAAATAATTTCACCTTTATTCCTTATTTTTATTCCCATCTTTAACTTTTGCTCTTTTCGAGTTTCTAAACTTTAAATTTATTTTCCGACAAAAAAAAATATATACTATTCATTATTTGTTCGGCAAAATTGAAAGTAAAAGATTTGGACGATTGCTCGATATAACACAAGTTAAGTAAAATTTTGCTACTAGTAATGACACGTGTGAATCGAATGAGACCGCTCGGTTTGGCCGAGCCAAAGAAACATCAACATGAGTTTCTGATGAACATCCCATAAAAAAGATAAAAAAATATAGAAGGAAAAATTTTATTTAAGGTTAAACTATACATAATTTAAACACGGCTCCTTGTTCCTCCCTGCAAACAGTTCAATTAAGTAATTGCATGGACCAAAGATCCTCCATGCTCCAGTAGTTGTCATTATTTGCCCCATTCTCACGAGGCCAAGTTGTGTGCTCATAGGCCATAGCCTCAATATCTCCTTGAGATGATGGGAGGTAGTCATGGCTGATCTCCATCGGCTCTGCAACATTATGAATGCTTGAAACTTGGCTACAAGGGCTGATGCCACCATCGTCGTTCGTCTCCAAACCGCTAGTGATTGATATCATCAGCTCGCCAACTTTCTCGCCTTCCTCTTGCTGCTTCATATGCTTGTGTATCCTCGTCCTCCAGTAATTCTTTATCTCGTTATCTGTTCTTCCAGGAAGCTGTCTTGCAATTTTTGACCACCTGCCAATTTTTCATTTTAGAATATCGTGTTGTTCTGAGTTTCCCACTATATCCATATTCTCCTTTGATCATGAAAAGAAAATGCTAACCGAGTAAAAATGGAAAGTTCTCATCACTTCAGTTTTCCTTTTAGCAGGTTTTTAAAACGTGCAATAAAGCTGTCCTAAATGGAATCTTGTACAGAGAGATGATCTTGCTTCCATGTCAAACATTCCAAAAAGAACATTCATAATCATCAGAGATATGTGGATTAGAAGCTGTTCTTAAAAACTTTTCTTTGTTTTCAGAATAGAATGTCATAAAAAATTCAGGTAACTTCTCTTAAAACATGACCACAAGATCAAGAGAACTGACCTGTTGCCCCATTTAGAATGCAAGTCCATGATCAAGACCTGCTCTTCAGGAGTTATATTGCCTCTCCGAACGCCGGGCCGAAGATAGTTCAGCCATCGGAGGCGACAACTCTTCCCGGTACGTTTGAGACCTACAAATGCAGAAAAATACCATTCAGCATAAGAAAGCATGAAGCCAAAACACCCCATCTACAAGATTGCTGTCAAAAAGAAAAAGGAAGCTAAAAGAAACAGAGAGAATTTTACCTGCAGCTTTGGCCAGTGAATTCCATACTCCTTCACCATGATTGGCAATGTAATTCATCAGAATTAAGTCTTCTTCCATTGTCCATGGCCCCTTTCTCAGTTCATTATCATCCTGAGAAGAGCTTAACCTCTCTGTACCCATCCTTTCTCACTACCTTGGTGTGGGAAGCTAATAAAATGTAAGGATGGGTGAAGGCTTATATATAGTGAAATGGGCATGTTTATATGTATGTATGCATGAGGAATATAGAACATGTACATTGTTTTCCGTTCTATGCATGACATGAATCAATTGGTCAATGAGGGGAATGAACATTTTGGGCAAGTAGAAGGGGAGGTGAGTTTGAAGGACAAATATGACTTTTTGATGTTCTTTAAAAAGTTATGGACCCAATCAATTTGTAATAGTCTTAGGTCATTAGGGTTTTAAATAATAGTTTACAGCAATCGTTTTCAACACTTGTGTATCATGATGCTTGTTTATGAATTATAAGAAAAGGGGATGGAAGCGATGTTAATGCATGGATATTGAATTCATTTGTAATAAATGTTGTTTAAATTCATGGACATCGTTTTGAAAAATAAATAAATATAGGTTTCAAGAATCTGCATCCATTTGCTTTGTTACCAAATGACCAAAAGTCAGTAGGAATTTAAATGTAAAAACTAAACACTAGCAAATTTAGTAAACACAGCGTGACTGTGACACTATACACGAGATTCAGTACAATTGAACATTCAAATAATCTTATACAACATCAAGAGCCACTATTATATGGAACATAGCTACTGTCCAATTTCGAAGCTGGTTGGCTTCGAATTCAGAAAATGGAGCTTGTTAAATATCTCCAAAAGTGCTACCTGATTAACAATTGCATATAGAATCATAGCTCGAACCCAGATCAATCAGAAACATAAAAGTATAAACGACACGGGGATGAATAAAGATAACTTCCTCGTCTATAGTCTAAAAAGTAGACGATACTCTAATATGTTTTGTACAAAATCTACTAAATCATGAAGCTCCCTAGGCATATATGGCTGTAGTTAAATGAAGGAAATAGTATTCAAAAGCAAAGGAAACCTGTGTTCTGGTTTGTAAATGTCTCAAGGTTCAAGGGTTCAACTTCCTATATCCAATGTGTGTGGTGGCTATCTTTCCATGAGCCTAAAAGACAGTGATCTTATGTTAAAGATAAGAGAGCATTGGCAACAAGATCAAAATGGGACAACTTCGGATTGTACGTTTAACCGATCCTTGAAATTTCCGCCTATATTACACTTCAAGCAAAAAGTGAAAGCAACCCCATAAAGATAACCATCTTTCACTTGATTTTAAAACTTCACCAATTTTAAGGAGATGGATGAGTTCAGGGTCAATAGGCCAGCATCAGATAGCCGCCAACCAGCCTAGCACAACATTTTGTAGAGGCAATTAATGATCCAGATGAGATTGTCCGACTGAACTCCATAGCCAAGTAGAAAGACAAAGAAGATCTCAAAAAGCAAAATAATATGATCACAAAGAAAATTATAACAAGGTTGACTTCTCAGAGAAACTATAACATGGTTTTGATCATTTTAGATCAAGTCACAAGTATACAAATAGAAAATACATATAGAAGTTTCAAACTGTTCTGCTGCTAATGACACTTCTTGAGAAAAGTGAACCATACCCCTATCATCGCCAAACTTTACCCACAGCTCAGTCTGACATTCAAGAGCCTCAACCGCTTCATGCCTGTAAAAAGAAGGGAGGCTTCCAGATTTACAAATGATCTTCCAAGTGAGTATTGCAGCACAGATTTCATTGATAAAATGAAGTATACAAAAGAGGGAGAGATAGAGCTCTCAATGCAAAACGGATTACAAGATTTGGTTCGTTTTACAGCTCTTTATTGGTGGTGTAAGTGTGTTATCCCTTTACTGCAAGTGTTTTATCCCTTTTTCGGATTAGTCTCAAATTCATCCGGCCAAGTGGAAATGTTTTTTGTGATTTTCAAAGAAAATACGCAGTTTCTACTATTCAAACATGAAGAAAAAATTTAAACTAAAATGTGTTAAAATGAGATTTCAGATCATGTCAACAGACTTTTGTGCTTACCTTGCTAGCAATATTGTTGGAAAGCCAGTCTAAACCCTCGTATAGACCCTCTCCAGATGTTGCACACGTGCTCTGTATGTACCTGAAATGAAGTGTTAATTTACATAGTAGCACAGATGCTCAAACCAATTCTTTTGAGTGTACTGTCTTCAATCACTTAATTTCCAGTTGAGAAATTGTCAAACGTTCGTAAAATGCAATTTAAATAGGTTGATATGGAAACTTCTCTACCCATTTCTATAGTACTATCCTTCTCTCTTAAAATACTCTGATCAAAAGTACACTCAAAAATAGAATTTTGATGGCACATCCCTGCACATTTAGCAACTTCTGAGGTAGAAAGTTCCCAAGTCAACATTGTGGACAAATTTTTCAGAAGACCATACTTCCATAAAGAAAATGAAAGTATAAACTATGGGCAACACACACACACACTCGCCTACAAGTTCAGTCTCCCACATCCAAAAAGGGAGCTGTCTTCTAGACAATGTTTAGAAAGAGTGGGTAGTTCAAAGTTGAAAGTAATCGAGACAAAAAGTTGCTAGCAATTGCACTTTATATTCTAAAACTGAGGATGGTTATGAGGTTGGAGGATTTCTGGAGCTAATGTATATCTTCTTAACCTAATCACACATGAAACATTTGTGAGAAACGAACTAGAATACAAGTGTATATAAAAGCTGATGAAATTCTAGATGAACCTAAAAAGAAGAATGAAAAGGAAGGAGAGCTTCATCCACGCAAGCTCTCTCTGCCCTTACTTCTTACATTCCAAAAAAGCCAAATGAAAAGCTCATATCAAGTTTGGTCAAAGAATCTAGTTCCATCTTTAAACAGATGTTCTCTAAAAAGAAAGTAAAGTGATAATGCTGCTCGGAGTAGGAGCAGACAAGCCAAATTTCAAAACATGGAGCAACCTAGTGAACAGATGATACTAAGTCACATTGGTTTTGGTTAGAAAACAAAATTGCAGCATCCCCGATCAGTCTCTTTAATCCAATCTATGCACAACATTAAGAGGGTAATAGGTTCTGGAATATTTAAAAAATTGAGCCAGCGAAACACATAATTGAATTAAAAAAAATCATATGCAGAAATAAAACTAAGCTTCAGAAGAAATAATAAATAAAGAAACAAACAATAATAAAAGTATTTTACCAGTGTCGTTGACGGAGTGAATGAAGACCAAGCTTGTCGGTAATTTCTGCAGCATTCATCGCATTAGGAAGATCTTGCTTGTTGGCAAATACGAGCAACACAGCATCTCTCAGTTCATCCTGAAATCAGATTAGTTGGGTACTCAGCGTATATTTTCTTTTAAGTTTGGCAGATGCCCACAAATTATGTATAAAGCTAGAAACAAAAATTTTCCTTTTCTTTGGGGGAGGGTGATAAGAGAAATGCTTTAACTATTATAACAACGAAAGAGAATTCTACATCAATACGAGGCTAAAACTGAAAAAATAAACAATCAGGTGGCAGGGGTATATGTAGAGAAAAAGAAAAGATAACAGATACAGCATCATCCAGTTTCCATTCGGTATATATTAAGACCAAAAGAAGAAACATGCAGATCAATAATTTCTAAATTTTCCCATCATTAGCACCTGATGTGAGAAAGATGAAAAGTAACCATAAATATAACTAATATTGCCAACTTCAACATAGCTCAACTGGTTAAAACATGTATCTTAAACTAAAAGGTTCGAGGTTCGAATCCCCCTACTCCTTGAACTCCAACAAAATAATAATAATAATATTACATCAGTACACAGAAATTTATCTTCACAAACAACAGGAAGCAACCTATGATATTATAGCAAATACATTCAGTCTACTACTTTTATTCTAAAACAGAAAGCAAGTTCAATCGTATGGAAAGAAAAATCGAACAGGGCCACACCTCATTCAACATTCTGTGCAACTCATCTCTTGCTTCAACAACACGATCCCTGTCATTACTATCCACAACAAATATAAGACCCTGTGTGTTTTGGAAGTAATGCCTCCACAGCGGACGAATCTATTCAATTAATAAAACAAATAATGAATAAATCAGTTTCCATCAAATTTACCCGAAACAAAACAATATCTCATCATAGTCATGTAGAAAAATCAAACACGCGAAATTAAAACAATATATATATGGAGTCATCCCAAATCTCAATTATGACACTGACTAGCAAGTTGCAACCTAGAAGCTTGAAATTGACGCAAAATGGATACATGACACAAGCATTGAAAATTCCAAGCAATTATGAACAGCAACATCTTTTACTTAGAAAAAAACACTCCTAAAGAAGAATTAAAGAATACAAAAAGTTGATGCAAAAACATAGGCAAAACAAGCCACGAAATATAAATCACAAGATAAAAAAGCCCCAACTATGGAGTACCAAAAACAAAGGAATAACACACTCACAACCAAAAAAAAAAAAAAAAAAACCCAACAGCTCAAATGAAGGCATTAAAGGAAGTCAAAATTCAAACAACCTCCTCCCAAGTCCCAAGACCCCTTGAGACCCTAAAAAAAAAGCCCTATGCTTTTGAGCCTCAATCTCCCTGCACGTGCAGGGGAGGGGAGTCTTGTAGCTCCTTTTTCCATTCTCCTGAGTATATCTCAGAAGTTAAGGCATACCTACTTCCTTTAAAAGATCTTAGGTCAAACTCACTCACTCACATGTAATGTAATATTCTAAAACAAGAAAAATGTGCATCCAATATTTTGTCGGGTAGGAGATACTGCCATATCTAGATACCAAAACTTAATCTATACTCGAAGAAAAGGAATATATGATAAGATGAATAAAATACATCCAAATTTATTATTCAGACGTAATCAGCACAGCAGTACCAGACTGCTGAACACAGCCAGCAACCCCCACCAAGTTGTATATTCAGGTCCCTAAGGCCAAAGCCAACAACGCTGACAAGCACACATGAATGACAAGAGAGTAGAGAGAAAATAGAGGTGTATACTTTGTCCTGACCACCAACATCCCAGACGGTGAAGCTGATGTTCTTGTATTCCACAGTCTCCACATTAAATCCTGAAAAAAAAAACACAGCACCTCCATGATCTATCTAATATTATTTGCTACAGTATGTCAATATAATGCAAGGAACACATCGAGGGGCACACAATTAACAGCAATCAAAATGAGTAACAATAACTCGAATTAAGCAATCAAAATTTAACATTTCATGAAAAAGTCTCGCAAAACAAAGAACTCACCGATTGTAGGAATGGTTGTGACAATTTCTCCGAGCTTGAGCTTGTACAATATCGTGGTCTTACCGGCAGCATCAAGACCAACCATCAAAATGCGCATCTCTTTCTTAGCAAAAAGCTTGCTGAAGAGCTTGGTGAAGGTCAACCCCATTTCTGCTTTGCCTTAGCTGGCTATCTCTATTTGTCTGAGGAGCTGCACAAGAAACCGCAAA